CTCCTAAATGAGAATCCGTCTTCTGTGGGGAGGCCAATGAAACGAATGAAACGTTTCGTCCGTTTCTACTCCTCGATTTTCCTTTTTTTTTTTGTTTCTTTTCTTTTTTGGTCTTTTTTTTTTTTTTGTCCTCCTATCTTTTTATATATGCATTTTTTATCTCTATTTTTTATTTATTTTCACTTTTCAGCCTTTTGGTTGCTTTTCCCCAAATATATTATATATTATAAAATTCTCTTTATCATTTTTTCCTTAGTTTTTTTTTAGTTATCTAAAATATAATTTATCGAATGTGACCTTTATGAATATTTTTTTGTTGCTGTCCATTAATATCAGTTTTCCTTCAAGTGTGTTCATGTTATAAATATCTTTTACTTCGTAAGCGTACCTCTTTATAATTTCGTATCTCTTACTCATTTAGGTAAATTGTCTTCGCACTTTTATGGATGTTTTTCTTTTCTCTCTTTTTCTTTCGAATATAAAATTTCTATTATCAAAAAATTTTTGGCATAAATCTATCACACGTATTTACTCATATATAATATTCAACTAAAAGAAACATTTTGATTAGAACATGCATATCCCTCGTTAACGAAAAGTTTCATTTTTTGGCCTTTATGTTTTTTTGTTCCTCCTTTTTTTTTTTTTTTTTTTTTTAATGTTTTCTTCCCTTTTTTCCTCTCCTTTACTTTTTCGTCACTCTTTTTTCTATTTTTAACTTTTTTCCCTATCATCCATTCTTTTATTTTTTATCCTTCCTGCAACTTGACTATCATAAATATATTTTTCTCTCTAATTCACCGTAGAAATAATTTCTTTTTGTGCATATCCTTATCTTAATTTATTTAAAACCAAGCTTTTTTAAATTATTTTTTATTTTTCTCTCTTTCTCATCTCTCTTTTCTATTTGTGTCTTGTCCTTTCTTCATTCCTATCTTTTTGCCTATTATAAATCATCCTGCTTTTTCGGTCTCCAAATGCTACCTTAATAAATATGTTTTTTTATTATTACGTTTCACTCCCCCACATTCAACCAACAATTTTCTTTTACGTGAAATGTTTTTTATTTTTTTATTTTTCTTTGTTTCTTTTTCACAAATATTTTTTATCCTCACATTTTTCTATCATTTTTATAGCTTTTTTTTTTATATATATTTTTGGGTTATATTTTACCTTTTTTCCGTTTTTGTCTCTTTTTTTTCTTCTCCTTTTTTTTAAGAGCAAAAGGAAAGGTTCCATAATAAAAACTAAATTGTTAACATGAAATCTAAAAGTAATAACCAACGTATAAGCCAAAAATGTTTAAAAGCATCAAAACATAAACGTAAATTATCTTTTATTGTCTATTCCTAATAACTTCAAAAGAGAAAGCGAATGAGGAGGCACTAGCCAATGCATCCCTATATGTGTATATAGTATAGGAGACGATTAGAAGTTGCCTTTTTTTTTCCGGTACAAAAAACTATAATCAATAGTTTTCTTTTCCCAATTAAAAAAAAAGCGGTTACCATTTTTTAAGTAAAAAATAATTTTAAGAGATTATGTGTGTGTATATATATTTACATAAAAAAAAACACACATTAATATTAGGACGGAGGCAAAATGAGGAGTACTTCTCCTATCCCCACCCCGTCACAAATGGAGGATTTGATTTTTTTCTCATCTCCATCCTCATCCTCGTCCTCAATAATTGTCTCCTATTCCCGTCTTATTCAAGGTGAGGCCTCATTCCATAAGGATTATTGCCATTCCTAAATAATACGGGTAAATTAAAGCATTTTTTTTCTCAAGAAAAACATGGGATAACTTTATTGATCGTGAGCTGCTCTATTACAGCTATCGGCTCCAAGGATAAAAAAGATAAATTCTTAACAGGTTGCGTTTGGTTAGGGTAATAGAGAGAATTGAACATGGGAATGGAATAGCCATTCCTCGTATCATTTTTTGGTTTGTGTTTTAACTAAGGAATCGTGAATAGTCCTTCCATTTAAATAATAACTCCACCTTAGATTAGACTAAAGAGGTGGAAAAACTTTTTCATTGTTCATCCCAACTTATCTTCTCTTGTATAAAACATGAGCCCTACAAGTAAATTAAATAATTACCGTAAGTATCTTCATAATTATCATAATTATGTTATTATTTTATTAAATAATTATTTTAACTCAATAAAATATAATCAGTTAAATAATTATTTTTCTTAGTTACCCTTTCTATACTTATATAAAACACGAGCCCTAAAAATAATTAAATAATTAACGTAATTATCTTCATAATTATCATAATTATGTTATTATTCTAGTAAATAAATATTTTACCTCTTATATTCATTTACACTTTATTTTAATAAAGAAAATGTTAATAATGTGACTCTAATTTATGAATTGATTATTAACAGGTTAAGTTTGTTATAATTAACGAGACTGTAACCCAATTAGTTGTTGAGATAAACTTAATTATCTCAGTTAACCAATTGTGGTTAATTTCCTGACTTAGGTTAATATAAGGTGTTCTATTAAAAATAAAAACTGCAGAAAGTAAGTCAACAAGTCTTTCATCTCTGTTTTGTGTTTTCTCTTTCTAGAACAGAGTTTGTATTTCTCGGTGAGTGCTAGAGAGAGAAACTGTGAGAATTTATGGGTAAATTTGGGATATTGAAGCTTGTAATCAAGAGTGAGAGTTGTGAGTTTGTACTATGTTTTTCTGCATAATAGTGGATTGGGCTGGAGGTTTTTCCAACCTCTGCCCTTGGATGTAGGATTTCCCAGAAATCCGAACCAAGTAATTCTTGCGTTGTTCTTCTTCTTCTTCTTTTCTGTGTACGATTCTTGGAAGACATGGGCCTGGGAACAACAAAAATATTTTAGTCAAATCATTGTTAAGTTCATTTCATTGTATGTGTAATCAAATAAAGTTACGATATTTTTAAGAATATAAAAAATATTATTTATTAATTTAAGTTTGAGTTTAAAAATTTGAGTTGAAGGAGAAATTTGAATTTAAATTTTAGTCATAAACTCAAATTAAAACTCAAATTTTACAAACGAACATGAACTTAAATAAAATTGTAACTTGAATTTAAATTTTTTTTAAGTTTTACTCTAAAAGAACAAACCCTTTATGTTTCATGATATGATTCAAAGTTAACAAAAAAGAAAAAAAGAATCACTTTCTCTTTTCATTATATTCCAATTACCATTTTATTCCATTAGCATATAATGCAACCAAACGCAATGTTAAATACGAGAAGTTGTATACCAACTTTAAAAGATGTACTTTTACAGAACCTAAGTTCTTTTTTTTTTTTTTAAAAATTTTTATTTTATGTTACATCATTTGTTGAAGGTATTTCAATGATCCTAAAAAGATTAAAACTATTAGAAAATGTCTCGAGCCTACCACTCTGACTAAAGCTAATAATTTGTTTTAAGGTACTAAAGCTAATAATTTTCATTGTTTACCTTCTTTCTACATGACACTTACTCAAGGATTTGGTGTCATCACTTATTCAATTATTATCTACATAAAATTATTGAATCGCCTGTTTTGAGATACCTTAGGTGGTGTTTTTAATACATGGGTTTGAATTGTTATATTTTCTCTTATAAAATTTTGAATTTTTATTTTATTTTTTCTATCCGAATCAATGAACCAAATCATACTTTTAACTTTTTAATGTTTTTGTGATCGCTTACTATGTTTATAAAGTAGGTATAAGTTAATTTGTCATGGTTCCACCTCAAGTAATTTTTTTAAAGCACCCAAATAACTAAAGACTAATTAGGGATTTAATTATGTTTCCACCCCAAAAGAAAAAAAAATTTTATGGTTTAGTTATATGTTACAAAATTGTTCACATTTATTTTTTGGGACAAGGAAAAATAAAAACACCAACCAGTTCTCAACGATCTTGTGCATTGAGCAGATCCGAATTGAGTAGTTCAACGAATACAGGAATAATTTATTTGATGTATCTTCTTATCTACTGGATGCCAACCTTGTAGTAATGGTGGGCAACCATGTTTAGATGATTAGTGTTTGGGTTGAGAAAGAAAAAAGAAAGATATAAAAAGCAAGCACAAGATTGGTGGAAAAAAAGAGTAACCGGTTTTTATTAGCGAATCTTCTCTACTATCGGCCTATAGATTTGATTCAAGTACAAATACGTAATTACAAACGAAAAACGGAAACTACAGATACGTCCACCAAAAAACTAAGTACAAATACGTAAAAAGAACAAACTTTAACAGAAGGAAAAAAGAACAAATCCGTAAATAATTCATGAAAGTTAATGTCTTTTTAAAAAAAAAATGTGAATAAAGACTTTAGATACAACATTTTCTTTTATTTATTTATTTATTTATTTTCTCAATTCGAATTAACAAAACGAACGAGACCTAGAAGATAGTACATGATATAAAGTATTATTTTATTATTTCCAAGTGTTATGTTATACTATTAGCAATAAAATTTTTGGAAATAGATTGGGAAAAAAAATCTTATGGTTTATTAGTTTGAAACATAGTGTTATCTCAAAAGAAAAAAAAATGATATTTTTGGAAGAAGAACTACTTTTTGTTTTTTTGTTTTTTTAGGAGGATAAATACAAGTGACATGCATTTAACTTTCTATACATTACTGTTAGAATAAATGTTACCGGTTGAAATAACAAATTTTATTTGTACTTCAGTTGGTATTATCATTTTTTCAATATATACTACATTTAAAAAAATTCAAGTATTAGAAAGGTGGTATTAAAGAGTTAAAATGTATAGTAAAAAAAAATTAGAGAAAAAAAATCATCTTTTTGTCCCCTAAAAATAAAATCATTATGTTTCACTAAAAAATTAATGGTGGAATTTCAATTATTCTTAAAAAAAATATGGAACTTAAATTGAAAAGACGTATAAGTTTGTTCGTAATAATACAACGCATGTCTGCATTGACCTTACAAATCTAATAACTTTTTTTTTTTTTTTGGAAACATTCACAACCAAGGAGAGAGAAAAAAGATGCAACAAATTTAGAGAGAGAGAGAGAGAGAGAAGAATAAAAAATATTACAGAGAGTGGCCGTTCAAACGGCCACCTCCACCTCAACATCTGGTTGGCGGTCTATTATGTGTGCAATTCCCACCCTCGTTCTCTTCTCCTCCTAAACAAAAAACACAAACCTCATTTTCTCGGGAAAATCCCATCCAAAAAAAAAAAAAAGAAAAGAAAAACACCACAACCAGGAAAATCCGCCATTTCTCAAACTCCTTTACCCTGCATCACCATCGTCTTCCTCTCTCAATTTCCCGTGCTTTCTTCGTTCCGCACACGGTGGTGTTTGCTGGGCATAAGGTAATTCATATCCCCTCGTTTATCGATTCAGTTATTCGGTATTATTGTTCTCAATTTTCCGTCAAATTCGGCGTTTTGTTCGGTAGAAAATTTTCGGGAATTTTCTCAGTCGATGATGCAGCACAACATATTCACAACAATGCGAAGTTTGAAGATCATGGACGGGTGTAAGGGCACGCAGGTCTATGCGCTTAATCCGTCTGGTCCCCCCACAACCGCCGGCGCCGGCGCCGGTGGTGTTGGCGACAAGCTCTTGCACCATCTCCAAGACCATCTTAGGGTCAATTCGATTAGATCCAAATCGAATCGGGTGTTTCAAGCCCCAAATCAAACCCTAACCTCAAACAATAATGCTATGTCCGAGAATCTTCTTCCCTACGGGCTTCCCTCTACCGATCTCTTAGAGCCTCTCATCGACCCCTGCCTTAAATCCGTCGATTTCGTTCAAACCCTCGCCGATGTGTATCGACGGATCGAGAATTGTCCGCAATTCGATAAATGGAAGCTGTTTCTTGAGCAATGCGCTGTGTTCCGAGGGCTCTCCGATCCCAAATTGTTTCGAAAAAGCCTCCGTGCGGCTAGACAGCACGCTGTGGATGTTCACACGAAAACAGTGTTATCCGCGTGGTTGAGATTTGAGAGGAGAGAGGATGAGCTTATTGGGTACTCAGCAATGGAATGTTGTGGAAGAAATATCGAATGTCCTAAGGCTAGTTTGGTATCTGGGTACAATCCGGAATCGGTTTATGAGTCTTGTATGTGTTCGAGTAGTTCTCGAGCTGATGATGAATTTGTGGTCAGGGATGAAGAGTGTTCGACGTCAGAGGAAGATGGTGATGTGTCGTTTTGCATTAGGGATGAAGAGGTTAGGTGTGTGAGGTACAATATCGCGTCATTGTCAAGACCGTTTAGAGTAATGTTGTACGGTGGATTCTCAGAAACGAGAAGGGAAAAGATAAATTTCTCAAAGAATGGGATCTCTGCGGAGGGAATGAGGGCTGCGGAGTTTTTTAGCAGGACTAAAAGGTTAGGTTCGTTTGATGCGAAAATTGTTTTGGAGCTATTGTCTTTGGCTAACAAGTTTTGTTGTGAGGAGTTGAAGTCGGTTTGTGATGCCCATTTGGCGTCTTTGGTTCGTGATATGGAGGATGCAATGTTGCTGTTTGAATATGGATTGGAGGAGACGGCTTATCTTCTAGTGGCAGCTTGTTTGCAGGTTTTTCTCAGAGAGCTTCCGTGTTCGATGCACAATCCGAATATGATGAGATTTTTTTGTAGTTCAGAGGCTAGAGAGAGATTGGCTATGGTTGGGCATGCGTCTTTTGTGTTATATTATTTCATGAGCCAGATTGCCATGGAGGAAGACATGAAGTCAAACACTACGGTGATGCTTTTGGAGAGGTTGGGTGAGTGTGCAACTGAGAGTTGGGAAAAGCAACTTGCTTTTCACCAGTTAGGCGTTGTGATGCTTGAGAGAAAGGAATACAAAGATGCCCAGCATTGGTTTGAGGCAGCTGCCGAGGCGGGTCATATTTATTCGTTGGTGGGTGTTGCAAGGGCAAAGTATAAGCGTGGCCACAAATATTCTGCATACAAGCAGATGAACTCTCTGATTTCTGATTACTCACCAGTTGGATGGATGTATCAGGAGCGAGCTTTGTATTGTATTGGGAAGGAGAAGATGATGGATTTGAGCACCGCAACTGAACTAGATCCTACTCTATTGTATCCTTACAAGTATCGTGCTGTGTCATTGTTGGAGGAGCACATGATTGGAGCAGCCATCTCGGAGATCAGTAAGATAATTGGTTTCAAGGTTTCTCCTGATTGCCTTGAACTGCGGGCTTGGTTTTTGATTGCCCTTGAGGATTATGAAGGAGCGCTAAGAGATGTTCGGGCACTCTTGACATTGGATCCAAATTACATGATGTTTCAAGAAAAAATGCACGGTGACCATCTGGTAGAGCTCCTTTGCCCTCTTGTTCCACAATTGAGTCAGGCGGATTGCTGGATGCAACTATATGATCGATGGTCCTGTGTTGATGATATTGGTTCTCTGGCTGTTGTTCATCATATGTTGGCAAATGATCCCGGGAAAAGCCTTCTACGTTTTAGGCAATCTCTCCTTCTATTACGGTAAGTATGAAGAGCAGATTACATTCTTTGCTAATATTTCTGTTATCCATATTAAATTTGTTGCTGAGCTCCTAAAAGTTCCCAAATGTTATGTTTTGATATTATAAAATTTCAACTTTATTTGTTAGCTCTATTGTGGGCTCAAGCTTGTTACCCACTACTCAGATCTAACCATTATTGCCTGAAGTATGCTCTTTTTTTTTTTTTTTGAAAAGAAACAATGAATTTTATTAAACCGAAAAGGAATGGAAAGCAGAGGAAGAGCTTTCCTCTAACAGACCAAATGCAAAGTAACAAATATCGGACTCAAAACTGAACAAAAAGAAAGAGACTACCAAAAAAAGAAGAGAGAGAGCCCAATTCCTAACAAAATCTGAAAATATCGGCTGGCCAAACTCTTTATCCCTGGAAGTATGCTTCATTCTTCTGTTTGGAGATACCAAAAGAAGAGTCTTGTATTTGCCTGTTTCAGCAGCTTTACTGATTTCTGTCAGTTTGTAGGTTAAATTGTCAAAAGTCTGCCATGCGTAGTCTGCGTTTGGCTCGAAATCATTCTAGTTCTAAGCATGAAAGACTTGTCTATGAAGGATGGATATTGTACGACACAGGCCACCGGGAAGAAGCTTTGGCGAAAGCAGAGGAGTCAATTTCTATTCAGAGATCATTTGAAGCTTTTTTCCTTAAAGCATATGCTTTAGCAGACTCGAGTCTTGATCCTGAGTCTTCAATGTATGTTATCCAGCTTTTGGAGGAAGCTCTTAGATGCCCTTCAGATGGTCTTAGGAAAGGACAAGTAGGTGCCAATTCAGAATAATCACGTCATCTTTGTTAAACATTACACTTTTATTTCAACTTGAGTAAAACTTGAGTAAATTTTGTTGTTTGCAGGCCCTAAACAATCTTGGGAGTGTCTATGTAGACTGTGATAAGTTGGATCTAGCTGCTGATTGCTACATGAATGCCCTTAACATTAAGCATACACGAGCACATCAGGGTCTTGCACGCGTATATCATCTTAAAAGTCAACGAAAAGCTGCATATGACGAGATGACAAAGCTGATAGAAAAGGCCAGGAACAATGCATCAGCTTACGAGAAACGCTCAGAATACTGTGATCGTGACATGGCTAAGAGTGATCTTACTATGGCAACACAATTAGATCCCCTGCGGACTTATCCATACAGATATAGAGCTGCAGGTAACAAATATAACCACCTTTTCTTTTGTGTTTGGTTCACCTTTGTTGATAATTTTAAGGTACTCCTTACCTTGAAACTTAGTGCAAGATCTTTTTGCGCCAGTGATAGTTTTGCTTTTGCAGTTAGTTGGCTTTTTTTTTTTTTTATAAACAAAAGTTTATTTTAAGTTCTGATATCCCACGAGTATTAATTCCTTATCATCAAGCTGTGACGCATTAACTGCAGCGTGTTGAATTACTCAAGCTACCTAGTTTCAAATTAGTTTTGTTTTACTTCTGCATTTTCCAACTACTTGCTCGGTTTCATTGGAGTTTGAGATAGGATTCTTGTTAAGCTGATCATATTGATAAGCTCCAATCCAAACAACCAATTAAAAATGACAAATCGGAAAGAGAAATGCTAACAGGAAGCTTTGATAAATATCAATGGCGGAAATTGGGTTACAGAAAGAGATATGGGGATATTCGAGAGATCCCTTGCTCTCCCTAGACTATCTTCTCTCAGAAGTTTCACAAACTGAATAATAATCCCTTATTCTACATGCGTTCTATTTATACTCACTATCTCTTAATCCGCTCACCAATCCCAAGGCCTAACTAACTACTAACTACTTAACAAACATAACAAACCAACCCTAATAACAAACCACTAACCACTTATTATATTGATCACTAATTACTAACATAATCCTATCACATATTTGTGTGAAAAGTTTTCTGAAAGTCATTAGTGGCCTTTCGACACACACACACACACACACACACACACACACACTAATGAAATTCAAATTCTTTAGTATTTGATCTCCAATTAATATTTTAGAGGATGATCCTCGATAACAGAATAGGCAGCTGATTTCTTCAGTTGTAGGATATATTGAAAAAGTTGTCTTCATATGTATAGGTGCCTGATCTCCCTTGTCTTCTGGAAAAAAGTTTGACTTGCGTACAAAAGAATGCTCTGACGACCTCTTCTTGATGAGGGGACACATCTATCTTTTTTTTCTACATACAGCAGCATTACTTGTGTTTGCTGCTGTCAGTTCAGTTTAAGAACTCTCTATTCCTCGATATTGAACACTTAAACTATTGTTTCTATTTTAATTTCCCAGGCTTTCTCATTTCCTTTTTCTCCCCGGTCTATGATTTATGTTCTGTGTAAATCCTTTGTTATTGGCATCTCAAGTTGGTGCTAAATTCTTGTATTAACCTATTAAATTTGTATTCCATTTCTCCTAGATTCTTCTTTGCCGGTATTTTCATATTTTGATCCTAGTAGAAAAGCTATAAAAACAATTTCAGCATTTTATCATTGTTTTCCTACTTAGCATTCTCTTATACATCTCTATACAACTGTTTGTAACACTTCTGTGATAAGGTGTTTCATAACGTATATGGAGTTTAATGCAAAATGTTATGCTGGGTCATCCTGTTGCCTGGAGATTTGGAGAGATTTCTGCTTCAGCTCCTATAGTAAAAGGGTTCTTAAATCAACATAGTCTTTTACTTAGGAAGTTGACCAAGCATGCTGACTTCGTGTTTTTGTTGATTGAGCTCTCCTATGCCATGGCATTATTTAAAATTGTTTTGGTCAGAGGATCTTTGTAGTAGTTAGAATCCACTTCTAAATTATTTAACATAGAAGACAATTAACCTCTTGTAGGAGAATTTTTAATTATGAGAACATGTAAATTTATGGTTTAGCAAGACCATAGTTTAATAAATTTTCAGAATATTGTGCTGGTGAAATGATGAAACCTTCTTGTATGGTTTAGTGGAACATGTTAGTTCCCTTTATATGGATTCACTTTTGATGCATGCTCCTCGTCCCGGAGTGGATATGAAACTAATACTGTCTTAATTTTGTTTATTTTACATTGGGATAGATTAAATATCTCTGATTTTGTATGCAAATGGAATTTTGATACCATGGAGGACCTGCAGTTTGACATTAGTGACTGCACTTACATTAGGAAGTGGACAGCTTTATATTTCCTGACTTTTATTTTCCCTCTTTACAATTTCATGTTGTCATTGAACTCATGTTCTGCTTTGTTATATGCTTCATACCGATGCACCATTATCATCCTACGATTTTGAACCCATGAATCACATATTACTAACTTTGAAGTTTTCTCCCACTAGTTTTGATGGATGACCATAAAGAAAAAGAAGCCATAGATGAGCTGAGCAGAGCCATTGCTTTCAAGCCTGACCTGCAGCTGCTACATCTCCGAGCAGCATTTTATGAATCGATGAGTGATTACATCTGCACCATCCGAGACTGCGAAGCAGCTCTTTGTCTTGATTCCAGCCATGCTGATACTCTTGAGCTCTATAACAAAGCAAAAGAGCATGTAAATGAATGACAAAAATAAACATCCGCATAGCCATTGTTCATTATTACCAACGAGCAATCTCCCATTGCTCCCACACAGACTTTTTAGGCACAAAAGGCAAGCAGTAAGCTCTATTTTATCTTTTTGGGTTTTTTCTATGGAACTCAGATGCAGAGTTCCCATGGCCCTTAAGATGGAACAAAGTCAAGAGGAAAAGAGAGTTTGGATTAGAAGGAAGGCAAAGTAGAAGATCAAAGATAGTATGTAAATATTTATTCATTGGATTATTGATTGAAGCAATCTTCATCATGTCGTGCGCACAACTGCTGCCGATGCCGATGATATCCACTCAATCAACGATGCGAGTGAAAGTAACCACAACACAAAGAATCTTGTACATGAAACGTCATCTTGTGATGAATTTAGAGGTCAATTGTTTTTTTTTTTTTTTTTGGCAAAGTGATTTCCAATGTAATGTAATATTGTCATATTGTTCTGCGATTTGTTGTATAAGATTCACAATTTTCCCTTACATCAAGACAGGAAAGAGTTTATTATTTATCACAGAACTCTTGTAACGTTAAACAATAGTCAAGACTGTTTCTCTTTCCTCATGGTATTTTCTTTTTTGTTGTTTACGTAGATAACTTAGCTAGATCTTGAGATTCTTTAAGCAAGGAAATTTGCACCACCAAGCGACTAAAAAGAACTTAGGGTCCGTTTAGTTCGTTGATTCGAGTTTTTAATTCGAGTTGAGATGTGACGTTGTGTGAGAGTTTTTTACTGTAACAAAAAAGTTAGATGTGACTGTTTATGAGAGTTTTTTACTGCAACAAAACTTGAATTCTAAACTTGAATCAGCAAAATAAACGGGTCTTTCATTAATTGTCTTGGCACAAACTAAAGTCATATCAGTTGTTTTTTGGTTCGCGTTTTTATTCTTGAAAAATGTTTAAAATGGTGTTACTAATATCCATTGCTACATTACATTTATGTGAAAAATGATATTAACTTGTACTAGCGTCTCAATATTTTGTCTTTTAACATTTCTTATGACCTTTATTTCCACTTTCAAATGCAAGTCAAAGCCTATAGGTTACCATTTGAAGTTACTGAACTAAAAAGTTGGATTGCCTACTTTCTATACAATTCCCGAGAATATAGACAGGCACCCTTTTGGCGGTGTAATCCCACACACGGGGTCGTTTTCAACCTCATCTTTCGACATGTTAAAGTAAAAAATCAACTTAAATGGGCTTCACGAGATCCCCATATAGCCCCAACTATATAGCTGCCCTTTAGTTTACTTCATTAATTACCCTACTGCCTTGAACTTTCTTGCTTCTTTCCTAATCTCTCACACACCAAAATCTCCCACTTTCCCTTTTGCCAAAAATCTTACCATGGAACAAGAACATGATCCTTTCCCTAATCTCTCACACACCAAAATCTCCCACTTTCCCTTTTGCCAAAAATCTTACCATGGAACAAGAACATGATCATCAACCAAACTATCATCAACCCAGAAATATTCTCAACTTCAATGCACCACTACTTTCAACAAGACGCCCTGCAAATTCCACCACCTTGGAGTTATCTTGCCCGAGCATACGGCGTCGTAACAGCACCGATGATCACCATAGAATCCCATTTTCATGGGAGAAAGCCCCCGGTAAGCCCAAGGACCCCGAAAAATGTAGTACTCACGACGATGAAAATGACACCCCTCGCCCCAAACTCCCTCCGAGCCTGTGGCGGTACCAACAAATACTTAGTACCGCTACAAATATACCAACAAAAGATGTCGTTAGTGATGACAATATTGGATGCGACGCAGATATTGACGACGATGACATCAATGACATGCCAGAGTACGACATCTACTCCGACGCAGTCGATGTGTTCTCGCTTTCAGAGGCTATAGACATCGTGGAGAGATCACAGAAGGCGCAAGAAAGTAGTACTACTACAACTACAGACGGGTTAAAGATGAAGATTTTTGAAGAGTCAAGAAGAGATAATCAGTACCCAGATTTCATAATTCAGAGGTTTCTGCCTGACGCTACGGCTTTGGCCACGGCCTCAGCTCTCGGTGCCATGAGTTTGAAGAAGAGCTACGAAGATTACAAGAAGTCACAGATGATGATGATGAATAATTCTAGTTCCGAGAGAGTTTCCGCAACGACGTCGTATTCTTCGCCCAAGGGCTGCGGGCTTGAGCTGCTTTTCCCATGGAGAATGAAGCGCAGGCTGTGTGGCACTGTTAAGAGCCCTGTCCGTACTAGTAGTACAATGCAACTCCAACGTAGTCACAAAGAAAAAAGGCGTTGAAGATTGTGAATAGATGATAATATTACAATTCTTGTTGTATAGGCATAATGTCATGTATATGCAGATCATATAAATTTTAGTTTTCTTAAAAATTAATAATAATTAATTAGATTGATAGTTCATATGAAAGATTACATATGACTTCACTATTTTTCGCTTTCTTGTTTTTGTTTATGTCAAAGGAAGATCAGTTGGAGAGGAAATTTGATGAGGTTAATTTTGTAGAAAGGGTGGATTTCAAGTGAGTAATCTTGACAAATACTTCTTAAAAGTGCATAGATCATGATTTTTACTCTTTTATTGATTCATAATCTTTTTAGTTAAATAATTACACTAATAAAAAGGTATTTATGAAAAATAAAAAGTAAATGTCCAGACTCACACTCTTAAAGATAAGTATATATATTATCTTTATTTATATGATGATAGTTATATATTAGATAAGTATATAATCATCACTATGTTCTTTTTTATTTATATAATTTAAATATATATACTTTTTTCATTTTCATGTAGTTGATTTACAACTCCATTGGAAAACTGTTAGTTTACTAAGATTCATTTGATTGATTCTAATATGCCCCTGAATAATTTCGTAATTAATGTAAGAATTATCGTTTATATTTTCCAAATCTTAATTAATATTTTTACAATCTTTAAAAATTCATCAGTAGACTAATTTCTTATTGCTAAGGATTCGCGTTGTTTTATAACAATTTTTTTTTTTTTCATTTCTCAAGGCACAAATTCGAAAGAATGCTAAATTACTCAATTCTAAAAGCATCTTTAATGTAATGTTACAATTGATATATCAATTACAAATTTAGTATTTGAGTGTAAAAAATATTCTTTAATATTATGTTATTTATTGTGTTAAATCTCTCATATGTTATACTTCGTGGTAAATTTCTCACAAAGTATAAAATATGAAAATTTAACATTTGATTACTATTAGTGAAATGTTTACTTTTTCTTATAATCATTACAACTTTTACATTTTTTAATTATTTTAAATATAAAAGTTTACTTTTACAATTTTCAAAACTAGTTATAGGAAAAAGTAGATTTCAAATATCACTTTGCATTAGAGCAAAAATGAAAATAACATATTATATTACACTTTTTAATAATAAATATACAATTGACATTAACATTTGCATTAGAGATGATATAAAAGTCACAATATAAGACCACAGTTACGCACTTCACATTTTCTCTTAGTTGGTTTCTGACTAATATTAGGAGTTGGTGTTGGCAATTATGCTCAATTATACACACGCTATCTTATTTTCTTATATATAATGCTTATGTATATGTTAGGGAAAAACACACCCTTACATCTATATAGTAGAAAAATAAATTGAAATAAAATAACTGAAAAACAGATAAGACAAAGGTTTACGTGGTTATGAAAAATTTCTTACGTTCACGGGAGAGAGAGAAAAAAAAATCACTAACAGTTTCAAAATTACACACTCGATAAATTTTTTCACTTTCTTTTTCTACCCAAAACCCCTTATGTACACTTTTTGTCTATCTCTCTTCTCATTTTTCTCTCTTTCTCTACACTTTTTTTTTAGTACACATAAAGCTTTACTTAAAACACTTTTTTTTATAGATTCCTAATAAGTCATAAAATAATCCTTATCCAAAAAACAAAAAATAGTAACTTACTCAAAAATAAAAAATAGTAACTTTCAAAACAAATTTGAGGCACTTACCTAATAATCTCTACCTTGACTCAAATTCTTTCAGCTCACACATTTGGGTATCCAATCTCGACACCTGTCATCACACCCCTCATAGATGGGATGACGACGATACAAGCTTTAACAAACATGTGTCAAGTTTAAATTAAACTTCTCCTTAGTTGAGGAACATGTCTAACATTTGTCAATTTCATCACAACTCTATCAAACATTTTCACCTTGACAATACCTCTTCCAATGGGTTTAACACTAGAATTATTGACCATTAATAAAGTAGCATCACAAGGCTTATAAGAATCAAATCACTCCTTTTATGGGCACATATAAAATGGACATTCATAATCTAAAATCCAAGAGTCAAAAATATTTTCACAAGTAATAATAGAATAAGCATTATCTTCAGTGTCATACATGTTGCCAACAACATTTGCAGAATCTGAAGTCTTTTGAGTTTTTTCTCTTTCTTCAAGGTGTTTTGCCAGTTGTTCACAATTTCTCTTAATATGCCCCTTCTTATGACAATAATAGCACTCAACATCATTCCTTAGACGGGAATGAGAACGATCGTCTCTCTTATCATAATATCTCTGTCGTGACTTACTCCTACCCCTATTTAAATCTTACTTTGCCACTAAAATTTATTCAGCATGAAACGAACTACTAGACTTCTTCATATTTACAATCTCTAACATAGCAGCTGACACTTCATCCAGAGTTAACGTCACCTTTTCAACTAAAATTGTAGTCACCAAAGTCTCATATGATTTGGGTAGACAGACCAATAAAATTACCGCTTTATCTTCCACATCAATTTTAATATTTACACTTAATAATTGAGTCACTTATAAAAATTATTTATATGATCTAAAACATCAGTTTTTTCATCAATCTTCAACTCATACAATTGATTTTTCAAATGTAGTCTATTTGTTAGAGATTTCGACATATAAACTTTTTCTAATTTTTTCAATAACACAGAAGGAGATTTTTCATTGTTATATGTTTCAGTTCAAGAGCCAAACTTAAACGAATAGTGCTTATTGTTCTCGCTTCCAATTCTTCCCAATCTTCATCTTTCATCTTTTTCAGCTTTTTTTCCTTACAGCGCTTTCAGTAATCCCTGTTGAATGAGAACATCTTTCACCATACTTTGTCAGATATGCTGAAAATTCTCTTTCCTTCAAACTGCTCAATCTGCTCAAACTTTATCCCGGACATTATCGTGACTTTTTTTTAATTCTTTACCACCTCTCTGATACCGGTTATTAGGAAAATACACAATCCTACATCCACGTAGTATAAAAATAAACTGATATAAATATAACAGAAAAACTAAAAAGATAAAGATTTACGTGATTTAAAAAAAATTTGCTATATCCACATGAGAAGGAGAAAAAAAATCACTAATAGTTTGAGAATTACACACTCAGTAGATTTTCTTGCTTTCTCTCTACCCAAAACCCCTTACATCATTTGTTTATCTCTCTTATCACTTTTCTCTGTTTCTCTCAAAAGAGACACTATTTCTTTGCACTTTTTTCTAACCACACATAAAAATTTACTTAAAACACTTATTTATTTTCCTAATAAACTATAAAATAACTTTTACTCAAAAAAACAGAAAACAATAAGTTACCTAAAAATACAAAATAGTAATTTTTTTTAAAATTAATTTGAGGCACTTATCCAACCATATATACACACAACACAATAGATATAAAATGAAACTGAGCGCCGAAGATATAAAATGAAACTCATTAGTTGGTTTCCTACAAATATTAGGAGTTGGTGCTCGAATAGACAATTTTAATTGTGGTCTTATATTATACTCGCCTTTTCTCTATATTCCTTCTATTCTCCAAGTTGCACTCACGATATCGCATTATCTCTAAATTACGCAATTCGCAATATAAATACCTTTTTGTTGATCGTCCTGTCAATATCTGTTGGTTTCCCCTTCAAACACTCGCAAGTTGCTGTCACAATGATAAGGAAACCAACAGATATTGATAAAACGTTCAACCAAAAATGGAAGCTTGAGAAGCAGAAGCCAAGTCTTTCTTGAATAAGGTTTGTCTTTCTTCACAAGATGATAGAAACAACATATACGAATCTTTTATTAAACTTTTTAGGAAGTACAAAAACAGATTAATAAACAATATTATTACTTCAAAGATTCTGAGAGGCTTTTCATGAGAAAAAACCTACTGTAGTGATAAACCTTAGTTCATGTCTAACAATAAAATTGATGCTAAAAAGGGATCATAGAGTTACTTCTATGGCATGTTTACTAGAATTGAGGAATGATAGTTAATCTCTTGTTTATTTGCTATTTTTTTTTATCTTAGATTAAAATAGAAGTGGGATTAGTGGTGCCACTCAAATTTTAGATTGAATAATGAGATTAGCAATCCTATGCCCCACCCGTGTCAGATTGGGACTCCTAATCTTGATATTAATATCTAATTACTATCTCATCCTTAATTTACTTATAAACATAAAAATTAAAAATAAAATACAAAAAAATAATAATTACAACCTATATTTATAATTTTATGTACATAAAATATTAACCTAATTAATTGTTAACTTTAACGTAATGAATATGTCTTTATTTTTTATTGAAATTGACAATATATTTGTATTTTTAACACTTTTTTCTAATTTATTTATTTTATTCAAATTTACACAATTTATTTTTATATGTTAAATATCTATGCAATTTATATTTATTATTTTACTACCCATTATTATAATGAATATTCTAATTATGCTTGATACTAAAATTATAAGTACACAATTTATTTTTTAAATTAAAAATACAAAATTTATTTGAAGGATATATCAATACTTTTATAACAGTTTATTTTGATTTCGAATGTTAATAAACGTATGAATGGAGTTTAGAGTTACACCAATTCTAAATCCCAAAACGAATCAAACAATTTATTTTGACTCTGATTCTGTATTCTACGTCTTATCCACTCCATTCATACTCATTATGAAGAACATCTTACTGCTCAAAATCTGAGGTATACTGAAAAATTATATGGTGAGCGTAGTCTGCACATGATAGAAGCATTATACATGAATCCAAAGGCTTTGAATGTAGTGTTATAGATCGCTTGAAGCAAAAGTTATAAAAACTATTTCTTAGTCCACCTCCTAGCGGTTTAAACTTTTAGGATGAATTGATAAACTAATAAAAATTCTGTTGTAGAGTATGAAAATTAAACATTCTACAGATAGTGTCATGTTTTTAATTAGAATCTGATTAAAACATTTCTGTTAAGGGGACTCATAACTAAAGTATCGCCTCACGAACTGTCACAAATTCAGTTTTCCCTAGAAGATTTATTTTGCGCTTATTTGGTTCGCTGGTTTGAATTTTGTTGATTTGAACAGAAAAATTCAAACTATGTAATTTAAATTGTAATTTGATTAACGTTTGGATGTATAGTTAAAGTTTTAATTCAAACTACTTGCTTACTAAATACCAATTCAAATGGTGCTCACTAGTCAAACTGAACTAAACTAATAAAATAAACGGGGGCCAATTTTGCGGACTCCCTCCAGCTTACTTATGAACGAAATCACAATTTTGTTTTCTAAGCTACATGAAAGAACTAGATCACAATCCGATGGGATTAATCTCTAGAAAACTAATAGAAAGGGAAAGCTAATTATACGTTCTGGTTTCCGGGACTTCCCTCCCACAGGTTATTGGGAGATGAGAAAAAGCTCTCTTATTTTAATGAGAGAATGTAGTAAATAATAAATTTTTAAAATTAAATTAAATAAAGAGTAGATTTTAAAATAATTTAAAATAAATAGCCGTTTACATGGTAAATAAATCATTTACGACTAATAAAAACAATTTTGTTCACGTAAATTTTTTTTATGACTGATAAATTTTTTTTGCCATGTAAATAAAGATTTTTTACTACGTAAGTTATTTTTTCCGGTTATAAATGAATCATATGAATTATTTACACGGTATATGATTCATTGATCATATAAACTGTTATTTATTCTAATTAGTTTTAAAATATGCTATTTACTTATTTAGTTTAAAAAATATGTTATTTATTATAATTTCTCAAATTTTTTTTCTCCCATTACATACGTGATATAAAAATGTCTTTGATAAACTTAGGAAGTTTTACTATTATAGTTATTATTATTATTATTACTATGATTATTATTTTTGAGTGCATTATATTTTTTTTCCCCCAAAAAGGTCACTTTTATCAAAGAAATGACCCCTAGATGCCCTTAAGAAGGGTCACGTGTCAATCATGTGATAAAATCCGTTTAGAATTTAATAGACGTTATCAAAAAGACCTATGATGCTATAAATTTTAAAATTTAAGGAGTTAATTGTAAAAAGTTTTAGTTTAGGAATTAATCTGTCAAACACGAAAGGTTCAGAGAGTTCCATTTAAAAAAAGTCATAAAAATTTAAAAAATTTAATAAAATGGAGTATATTGTAATAATTTATAACCTTAAAGGGTTGATTATTAAAATTAAAAATTAAAAATTTAAGAGATAATTTGCTAAATCAAAAACTAATTGCGCTACCAATATTTTGAGATTAGCTTATTAGGATGGTAATGATATGGGTCAAGCCCAACAGGCGTGGTTAGAATTTGGGCTGAGGCCCGTTGGTATTTTCTTTGAGAGCACATTTCTCACTTTTGAGAGACCCCCTCCTCATCTGCATCTCCCCTCCCGCTTCTTCTAAGCAATTCGAAATATAAACATTACACTCAAATCTCCAAATCCGCTTCTTCTCAGATTCATTTCTTCGATTCTCTCTCTTCTCTCTCTCTATACGATAGGAGATTCTCTCCTCTCTCTCTCTGCACTAATTTTGCTTCTTCAACGAGAAATCTAGAGAGAGAAAGTTGTACTCTTAGGGCAACAGAAACCCTAGCTGCTTCTTCTTCGACTAGGGTTTTAGAAGAGCTCTCCCGATCCTCCCTTTCGCTCTCTTTTTCTATTTCTCCGCTTTAATTGCCTTTCGATTGCAGGTATATCCCTTCGCGCGATATCGATTTTAGCTGTTATTTTTGTTGTATCAAGTTTTAGATCCGGTGCATTTCCGATTTGCTTGTACATTTTGGTTTTCTGTTTAGGGGTTTTCATTTCATTTTAGTGCTTGCGATGTTAAATATATGTAGGAGCTTGGGTTTTGGCCATTTTGGGTGTTTGAAGCGCCCAAATCTTATTTTGTTGGGATTCATGGATTTATACTTTTTTTTTTTTTTTTTTTTGGGTATTTGGTCACACCCTTTCTCTATCTTTGTTTGTGTGTGTGTGTGTGTGTGTGTGTTTTTTTTTTTTTTTTTTTTTTTTTTT